TACATTAATTTGCTTTTAAATTCGTTATTAGATTTGATTAAACAAATCTTAAATTTTAAGATATAATAATTATTAAATTTATTTAAGCATAATAGATACTTATAAGACTTAAAGAATTTACTAAGTCATAAATTCTGACAAGTAAATCAATTATCATAGTATTTTTAACTGAAACTAAATCTAGTGAAAATATATAAAATAAAATAAATTATTTTTTTATAGTTTTATCTTTAATTACTAATAATATTATTTAAAATATCAAAATTAGATAAATAATTTTTGAAAAAAGTCAATTAATATATAAAACTTATCATAAAAATTAAATAAATTTAATTAAATTTAAAATTTATAGTTAGTTAAATCAATTTATATAATAAAATAATTTTTAAAAAATATTCATATAAATACTTTACAATAAAAAAAAGGATTTTACTAAAAAAAAAAAAAAAATAAATAAATAAACTTTATTTTAATATGTAAAATAATATTTTTTTAGTAAATTAAGTTTATAAAATTTTTTCATTTCTTTAAAAACATACATATAAATTAAATTATTTAAATTTTTTATTTTTAATAATTATTATCCCTTAAAATATAAATATAAAATTAGTTCTAAAACATTTTAGAAACTTAAAAAATGATTAAATAAAATTTTTAAATTTAATTATCTAATAATTACAAAAATATATAATTTAGTTTATTGGATAAAATCTAAAAATGGCAGTATTTTTATATTTCTAAGATTGATAGATAGCAAGATATATAAGTTTTAAAATTTTAATTCTTTTTTATAATAATTTATTATTTATTTATCTTTAAAAAATCACTAGTTAAATACTTTTTTTTTTTTTAAATTTTTACTTAGAAAACATCACAAAATTTATTATAAAAGTATTAATTTTTTTTAAAAATAATTAAAATTGCATACAAATTTGTAAGCAAAACAGTTGTAGAAATAATAAAAATTTAATTAAATAATATTTAATTCTTTAATATTAAAATTATGTAATTATATTAGATTTAATTATATTAAAAAATTTTATTCTAGAAAAAAATGATCACCAGTATCACATGATATTAATTTAAGTTAATCTCTTGTGACAAATAGGATTTCACATACCCATTTAAGAAATTTTTAACAAAAAAAAATGAAAGTAAGAGGGGGGGAGGGTGTGACTCCGGATGATAATTTTTAAGTATCATTAATAATAGGTTCAGTTTAAATAATATAATTCTGTACATATATACTTAAAAAAAAAATATATCTAATATTTTTCTAAAAAGAAAATTTTCCCATTAGGAATTTTTTTTTCAATTTCCAATAATATACATAAAGCTTCTTATAAACCATCGTGTTAATTATTATAAAAATGATATTATATTGATATATATATATACAGTAGATAACACAATTAAAGGAAAATCCAAAATAAAATTACGACCAAACCAATAATACAGGTAGTGGCGACTGATGTTTTAATGGTTTTTTCTTCACATAAGGAATCAATATACTGTTCTTGTTGAACTTGATGAATATGTAAAAATATATCCGAAGTTTTTTCGACATCAGATAATTCAATCATGATTAAAAGAATTGTAATTTATAATGTTCAAGAGATTTATCTTCAAAAATGCGTAAGGATGTGTGTATTTGTTAAATTAATGAGAGTGCCTAACAATCGGCTCATATTTATTATTAAAGTAAGTGAGTCAAGTGATCAAACATTGCACGAATGTCACGTTTTACATGTGAAATGCAAAGTTTGGGCGTTGTCAATCCTCTAACATTTTTTTATAAATGTCCGGTGCTAAAAAAAAAAAAAATTGGCTGTTCGGATAATTATTTGACGAAAAAAATTTTTTTAATTTTAAATTACGGTGATAATCGAAATTTATTAACTTTTTTGTATCAGGTGATAAACCGACTTTATGAATTTTATTTAAATCATAATTATCAAATGAAAAGAGAAAGAAAATTTTATTCGCCAACATGAAACTTTATTTCTTTTGGAAATAAACTTGATATCTTTGGTGATGGTATTAAAATTGATAAAGTTGGTTAATTTATGATTTTTTTTTTTATCATACCTTGGACCAATCATACCAATCATAAATTATAACCAATTAGATATCGTCACATGAACGTTTGTGGTTAGCGTTGACGAATATATTGACAATAAATGACGCTCCTGGGACGTGTACAACTTTTAATTTTATTAACTTTGGATTTATAAAGTTAAATAAGATTGATATTTCTAGTTTTATTAGATATAAATTTTTTTTTTTTTTTTAAAAACCATAAATTAATTATTAAATTAATATTTTTTATGTTTAGCGTATAATAAACCCAAAGAAGAAAGTGCACTAAACAAGCAGGCAAATGCACTAAGATAAAAAATGTTGTTATAACAATGCGCTCCTGTGCAATGATCTTTATGTTGATCATAATTCAAACCGAATAACAAATTAAATAATTGTCCACCAAATGCTGGAACCTACAAGTATAAAGAAGGAAAATTATTATCGTAGCTAAAACTTTAAGAAATATTTAAATATATATATTATAAACTACTTACAGAGGCAATGATTCCCCTATTACAAACCAAAGAAAGAAAAAAAAATAAAAATTAATCCGAAATCTTTTAAAAGCATTGATGTATTCTTTTTTTAAATTAACTTACCAATTTAACCCAAATCTTTTAATACCAAACCATTCGCTAACGATTGTAGGAGTAATAGCATATATATTACCAAATCCAAATCCCACGAAAAATGTAACAATGAATAATTTATCCAAATCAATGGCATAAAATAAGATTAATATTTGACCAAAGAACAACCAAACACTGGACAACATGAAAAACCATAATCTAGGCAATTTAAATAATAATTTAGCTAAATCTGATAAGAATCCAAAAGTGAATCTTCCTAAACATGAAAAAACCGAAAGGTAAAACACGTGTAGATTTTGAATTCTTTGAATTTCTTCCGGTGAAAAGTGAGGATGAGTTGAATTATAATATAAAGATTTAATTATCGTTCCAACATTATTAATATACATTAGTCCTGTACCAGCGACACAAAACATTGATATAGCCAATACTTTAGCGTCACGATTATAAAATAGTTCCCAGCCACCAATGTCGATTTCCTCCTCTCTCGCTTTATTTTGTAATAATGGTGACCTCTCGGAATTTTTATCATCTTGTTTATCAGGTTTTGGAGTGTTTGAAGTATTAGATGAGGCTCCTTCTTCAACAACAATAACTTTGTCTTGATCGTTTGGTGGAGGCACGACAACTAAAAACAAACTGCCAACAAACATACACAACCCTGCACTTGTAGCAATGAAAAGTAAGAAATGATAAGTATCATTTTTAAACCATAATGTATCTATTTCCGAGTATATCGCTGCTGTTAATCCGAATAATGCCATCGGTGCTCCAAATGCAATCCCTCTAAATGACGTAACATTTTTCGCCTAAATTATCATGATACAAAAAAGGAGAGGTTTGTTTTTAATGATTGAAATCATGTTTAATTGATAAAACAAATTCATTATAAATGCTTACGATCGTCACAAGACTTGATACCAAACCTAAAAAAAAATTGAGATTTTTTTAAAAAATAATTCGTCATAATTTGTTTGTGGAAAAAACGTTACACAAAAATTACCCGCGGATGATGCCATTCCTGATATGAAAACGTATAAGGCACACAATAAGAATGAAGAATTAGAGAGAGTTCCGTTATATGTCATGGCAAGTAAAAAGTATCCCATGAACACGGCAAAAGAAGCGAACAATGTCGTCCTTTACATATTAAAGGAAAAAATAAAAAGGTTTAATTGTAATTTTTACGCTTTCGTTCTCTGCGGGCGAACCCCCCAAAAAAATTGTTAGTACCTTCTTCCTCCATAATGATCAACGATATATCCAAAAAGCGGTTTGCACAGATAAACACCATAATTTGCAGCACTTCCAATTGTATTTATTTGAACGGAACTAAAATGTAATTGGTCTGCTAACGTTGTACTGTACGCAGAAAAAAGATATTGCGTACCGCTTACCGACGATATTAAAAGAGCTGCTAAATAGCTCAGTGTTAACTTTATTACTCGGGAGTTCATTTACTTTTTTATATATATATATTTTATATATATGTATATCCTTATTTTATCTTTGGGATAAATATATTTTTTATTTTTGTTTTATTTTTTTATTGTTTTATTCAATTTAAAAAAAGAAGAAATGTTTCTTTTGGTATCTACAAAAAAAAAAAATAAATCGAATCGGGAAATATTGTATGGTAGGGAAGAGTTTTTTTTTTTTTTTTTTGATCTGAACAGAAATCGGGGGGGGGGGGGCTTCTTTTGTTACTTTATATTAAAAAAAAAAAGATTGCGCATTTCTTACATATTTTAAATATATATATGGGTTTTTTTTTTCGGTCATTCAGATTTAACCGAGTCATGTGGATTTTTGGTCGAACGAATATAAATGGCAAAGAACAAAAGCTATTCTTTTCTGTATATTTTTTACATGTGATTAAATATTATATCATGATGCATTAACCAACACCCGTAACAACCCAGCAAACTCCCCTTTGAAAGGGAGTTCTTTTTTTAGCATCACTAAACATATATGTATGGGGATATAAAAAAAAAATAACGGTTTTCTTAACTGGATTATTAATCGATCCCATGACAATGTTCATGTTAAGATTATCATCTACATACCATTTAATCACATTCTAATTTGTAAGATCGTAAAAGATTATCCATTTATTCAATTAAGATTGTAAATCATTCTTATTACAGAATCATTTCAGGTAAAGAACAATTGCGAATTCCAATTAAAAAAAACTCCGTAGTCAGACGACGTCGCACCAATGAAATACGTATCACAAATTTTTATTCTAAGCGCCACGCTGCATAAAAAATTATTGAAATTTGGAAAATTTGGAAGCAAAGCTTCTGTAAATGTAAAACAGGTTTAAATATGAATTTATTAGGTAAATTAGCATTTCGGCTTCCAAAGATATCATTTACAAATCAAATGTTATTTCCATTTAGTTCTTTACATACATCTTCAACATTATACAATTCCATCCCCAAATCTTCTCCCTCTCAATTAAATGATGATGAACCTCCAAAATCTGATACGATCGTTCCAACTTCACTATCTTCGGCATTTAAAAATATGTATGATGATTCGGCAATCCTTTCCTCTCAAGCGATTTCGAGATTAACCAGGAATGGTTTTATAACTAGAGATGAAATTGAGGTAAAAGGTCCTGTAATTTTAGTAAATGGTGATATATTTATGTGGAATGTACCACAAGGTCAAGGATATGGTCAGGGTATTAATAGAAAAGGTGGTGTATTTGATAATTGGATCGTTGACTTCTTAAAATTATTCGAGGTTATAACACCAAAACCTGGTGAGTTAGCATTTAAAAATTTTAAAAAAAAAAAAATTTTAGTTTTTTTTTTTTTATATAACTGAATGTTTTTAATTCTGTTAAAGATTTATTGGTATTTGGAACCGGAAAATCATTTGTTCCAATACCATCAAATATCAAACAATACATTAATGATTTGGGAATGCAAACTGAAGTTATAGATACGGTAAGCAAATCGTATAAATTATTGATTTATTATTATGTTTATAATTTCTTATCTTTATCGATTCCTTAGAAAAATGCTGTGGCTACATTTAATGTTTTAGCTGAAGAAGGAAGAAATGTTGCAGCTGCATTATTACCATTAACTCCAACTTGTTCTCGCACTGGGAAAGCCTTTTAATTAATCCAATTTATAATCTATTTGTTTACTTGAGGATTGGAATAATAATAATAATAATACTAATAAAATCAATGAAAAAAATGTGAATATCTTACTTTTAAATAAAGAATAAAGTTTTTTATTAAACAATTCTAATTTATAAGTATTTAAAAAGTTATAATTCTACAATAATTAAATAAAAAAAAATTAATTTAAACTTCAGAACATTGAATTATTTCTTTAATGCGAGAAGTGGGGGGGGGGGGGGTTCTTTTTTTATATTAAGCCTTTTTGATCAATTTTTTTTGTTTCTTTTTCAATTCTCGTTTACGTTCTTTTTCTTCATACTGAAATATATTAAATTTATTAATTAAAAAAAGAAAAAAAGTCATAAACGCATAAAGGATCACACTTACTTTTCGTTGTTCTTCGGGTGATAATTTTGCAACGCGTTCAGCTTCAGCACGTTTCTTTTCAGCTTTCTTCTGTTGAATAGCCTTAAATATAAAAAATTTAAATATTAGATAATGTTTCAGTTTCTATAACAATTTAAAACTTAATTACTTCTTGTCTTTCAATTTCTAAAGCCTTGTTTATGGCTTTCTCGGCATCATCTCTGTTCTTCTTTAATTTATTCTTCGTCTGAATCACAGAATTATTGATAAGTAACGAGCCCATAAATAAATGTAAAATTTTCAAATGTAATTGTATATATTTGTCACATCACCTCTAATCTGAATGAACATCTAGCAGGAATGAAATCAATCATGTACATAATTAATTCTGAAACAGGTAAAGTTTCATTAAGTTTAGATAGATCATCAGGAATGGAACTAATAATCATTAACAATTTTGGCTGATTTTCGGCAGTTCTACATAATCCATACAAGATTGGTTATCAAATCTTCAAAAAATTCTATGATACCAAAGAACAAAAAAAATTGCTTACTTTTCTGGTCTAACACGCGATTGATCCGTCACGATCATAGCATTTAAATAATTTTCAGACTTTCTTAAAAATTCGACTAGTTGCTTGGTAAGAAATGTATCAGTAACTTCAGAAGATTCGGTTTGTGCACATAAACTTCCTGGAAGTAGATTGTTATTGACTTGTTTGGTAAAATCTTGCTATAATAAATGTCATTGAAAAAAATTATACTGAAATAGTAAAAAAATATATATATTAAATGTACTTTTAAATTTAAAATCATACCAAATCATATCGGTTTCCTCGAAGCTCTCTAGAACGTTCCTTTTTCGTGATGGCGAAAACAAAATTGTCATATTCTTCACCGTTCATACACACATTAAATGTCTGAAATAATGAATAAAAAAGTAAGGAAAAGATTAAAAAGATTTTTAAAAAAAGTTATCCACAAAATTTTAATTACCACAGTATCTTCTATAACATTACTACTAAATTGAGAAATAATAATGTTGGTGATGATTTTAATCAAGTTATGCCTTGCCTTAAGCTGTACAAAATATTAGATCATAAAATCATAAAAAAAAAAAAATTCAGTATAAACAAAAAAGGTAATACATAACAATAAAATAATTAAAGTCCAACCGTAATTCTTCCATGAACATACTGACAATTTCTGCGACCGCTCAGATAGAAAAGATAATCTGCTGGCCCATCTCTAATAAGAGGCTTACTATCGTCATTTCCGGTTCCAACAAGCGCAAAATTATCTCTGAGCAAAGAAATATGAGTTTCCATCCTATAAAATGAATACAAATTCGTTAATTGAAATTTTTTAAAAAAAAGTTAAATCATTAAAATTAACCATATACCATTTCCTTGCAATGTTTTCATTAATTTGTTTGCCAATAAAATAATTAATCAGATATACAATTATACATATTATCATAAATATTTCTCGGTAAAAATCTGATAATTCGAAATTTGGTCTCGCTAATGCTGCATAAAAATTTAATAAATATAAAAAATAAATAAAAAAATAAACATTAAAAAAGCTAATATTAAATACAATACTTGGTACAACGATAGGCTTTGGCTCCGGTACTGGGTCCTTAAATGTTTCAAGAACGGGTTCCTCCGGTCCCTGTGAATTTACAAGTTCCTCCTCATCGAACTCATCTAAACCAAAGGAAAAAGTAGATCTACATAAACAAAAATTGCTTACTGAAATAAAAAATAATTTCAAGATTCAGTTATATGGACGTACCTGCAGTCACTATTTTTGTAAATGTTTGTAATAGCAGCAATATTGCTATTAAATAAAAAAGAATTCTTGACCGAACAGTCATCTTTTGAATAGATTGAGAGCTAATAATTATTATAATTTTAGATTTTATTTTTTAATTTGTCGAATAATTTTGTACCACTGATGTTAATTAACTAGTTAATTAACCGGGACATATCCGCGCATCCTTGGAATTTGACTGTTCTAGATGTATCGGTTCGAAATTGGAACCGATTTTTAGACGATCAAATTAAATTGTTGATCATTTTAACTAGAATTATTTTCTTTTTGCATTATTGTTTGTTCTTATATAACAACTCGGATGTATGGAAATTTTTTTAAAATCCAAGATGAAGAAACTGAACTAACAACAAGTTATAAATGCATTTATGTGTTAAAATTTAATCCAATAACCACCCTTGAAACATTCAACTAAAAACATTTATTTCATTTTAAAAACCAAAAATCATCAATTTACTTTGAATGAAATATGCTTCAATTCTATTCTTTATCACAATCAACTCCTTCACAATTTCATTGATCGATTTTATTGTAATGAAGATACTGAATTTAAATTGTTAATTAATAAGTTGAATTCTCAAATTATTTTACTATGAAGACAAACTTTAAAAGAAAAATTTGTAAAAAATTATGAATGATTTAATAGGCGAAATTTTACAAATTTGTTCAAAAATATCTCTCATACTAATATATGGATATCAGATCTAAAAATTGTTATCTTGAAATAATAATTTATTATATTAATGATAATTGAAAATTAATCTTATTTAAAATAATCCTTATAAATTTTTTCATAGAGCTAAATTAATTACAAGTAAACTTTTAAAACTTTTGAATCATTCAATATTAATCAAAATATTCTTGCTATAAAAACAGCTAAATTAAAAAAGAATTTATAATATATCTTTATTTATTTCTGATGTGCTGACATATTATCAATTTGGTAATAAAAGTTAAAATGAAATATGTAAAAAATGAAATCAAAAAAACTTTATCAATTTATTGTTAAAGTAAAAAATTCACTATTATTATTAGATAAATTATTAGAAATTTGTATTATTCAAAAGGTTAAATTTTTAAAATTACTTTTAAATATAAATATCTATTAAAATTACATATTTGATTATTACTAAACAAATTTTAATGTGAAATATTTCTGATTAATTATTAAAGATTTTGATAATCTTTTTTAATAATTTTTAAATGTGATATATTAAGTTAATCTTATACTTAATTATTATTTATTTTAAAAATTATCATTAATTTTATAATCTATATACAGTCAACTTTTATTATAACGAATTCTATATCCTAGAAACTCAACTTCGCTATAAAGCTATAATAAAGATTTTAAGAGATTTGATTGACCAATTTGCTATAATAAGAGTATTTTTATTATATTTGTTCAAAAAATTCATTATATTAAGAATTTGCTATATCAAGAATTGATTGTATAAACAATATAGTTATTATTATCATTATATTAAATTTTACATAAAGTAAAATATGATTAGAATATTTAAAAAATTAAATCAATATTAAGAAAGAAGATTATCATATATAAAAAAAAAATAGCATCAACTATTTACAATAAATTAATAAATATTGAGATGATTATTTAAATTACACTTCTACAATTTTTTTAATATTAAATCTGTATTACAAAATTATATTATTTGATAATAATAATTTAACTAGAATTATTAATAATATATAATATATTTCACTTTAAATAATCAAATAATATCAAAAAAAAATTATCATCTAAGATTATTTTTTTAATTTGTTTAATCAAAATAATTATTAAAGGATAAATTAGATAGATATTTAAATTTTCCAATAAATAATAGTATTATTTTTTTAATTTGATAAAAAAATTTTTGATATTATCTTAAATGATTAAGAAATATTTAATAATCCAGTTTTATCAAAAAAACTTTTCTATCTTAAAAGTAAAACAAATTAAATCTTAAATAAAAGTATTAGATTTCAGAAAAAAATGATAATAAATAATTTATAAATTAATATTAAAATTGTAAGAATCCATAATAAGATAAAATTATTTTATATTAAAAGCTTAATAGAAATAAAATTTTAAATAATCAAAATAATAGATAAATTGTAAAAATAATTTTTTTTTATATAATTTAATTTTTTTTATAATTTATTTTTTATTATAATAAAATTTTAAATTACAAATATTAAAATTAATATATATTATATTTTATGTTATATATTTTATACTTTTTAATTTTATTTTTTAAGATTTATATAATATATAGTTTAAATTTCAGTCTAAATTTTAATTTTAAATTATTTATAAATAATTTATAGCTTAATTTTATCTTTAAACTAATAAAATCAAACTAAAATTGAATTAATCAAATTGTTAATATTCTTAGATATATATTCTCAGAAAATCAAAATATTTTAACTTAAATTTAAAAAAAAATAATAATAAATATTAATTTAATTTTTTAAAATTTATTTAACTTTCAAGTTAAAATAAATTAAGAATTCTATAAAAATAGTAGTAGTTATTTATTAACATATATTTAACTTTAAAATATTATTATAAAATTTGTGAATAGAACTACAAAAATTTTATTAATTATATAAATGTTATTGGTATTCTTTTATAATAATACTAATATTAATAGCTTTTAACATATTAAATTATATAATAAGTAATAAATTATATTAAAATAATTTTAATAAAAAGCAACTTTTTATTTTTATTATAAATATAAATAGTATATTAATAATAAAAAATATTGTAATATTTGTATT